TGGCTCCCAGGGTGTGCGTCAGTGGGAAGCTGCAATGAGAAGCAGATCTGGGACTCAAACCCAGGCACTCTGAGTTGCGGGGTCCCGAGCCGTGTCTCAATTGCTAGGCCCAATGCCTGTCCCCGGAGGCAGCCATTTTGATATGGCAGGTGCATCTGTGCCCCTGCTTAGGTCAGATCACGAGGTTTCTCCCGTGAACGCATATACTCATGGCTTGCCAGATTTTATCCAGAAAGTAAAAGCACTTTGCTATCCCTTTATTACATGATTTGTTTTCTCTTTTGTGCTTTGTTAAAGCAGATGCAAATGATTTTTCTTGGCTGGATGCAGTCACTAAGGACACTCCTGACATGAGACACCTCGCGGATAGATCCTGAGACACCTGCTTGGTTTCGGAGTTCCGGCGCGCGCCTGCTGGACTCGGCCCGGTGCTGAGCCCGGCTCACCTCAGGGAAGCACGCTGTGGTCTCCAGCACTGTTTCCTCCAAGAAAACTCATAACCAGAAGGAGTTACGCTGTGTGCACTCTTTGCTTCCGAAATTGTGTTGTTTTGTTTTGGTCTACGCCTTCCACTGCTTCTGAATGAGCTTTTTGTTAGAAAAAGAGTTGCAGATCGGTGCCTCCCCACACAGGGCACCAAAATGTTAGGAAAAAAAAAAAAAAGGAGTAGAATAGAGAGGAGGCAGTGCACGAATTTACAGCCAGACAGAATTCGTTCAGAGAAAGTAAATCCACAGAGGTGGGTGACCCACTGCCCGTGTGTACAAGATGGAGCACGTGGCAGAAGGCCCGACCCCCAGGGGCCTGGCCTTTTTAAGGAGGGCTGGGGCTGGGGTGGGGGTAGGGAGCAGCAGCAGAGAGGAATTCCTGGAACTGGGTGGGGCCTTGGGATCCTGGAAAGAATGCGGGGTGGGGTATGCAGGCCATGGGTGTGAGACCCATTTGAGATTCAAGGGCAAGGAATACACCCCGATGTTTATCTGACTTTCAGGCAATGAGCAGGATAGCTGAGGCTTAGGTCCTTGTCCCATCAGTTTTAACTAATCTACAATTGCTCAGTCTGAGTCTGTGAAGCTCCACTGACCATTACCTGTCTCATATCCTTCACCTTGGAGTTAACAGCTCCCAAGTTTGGGGCCAGGGTTGTGGCACAGCAGGTAAAGCCACCTCCTGTGATGCCAGCATCCCACATGGGTGCCGGTTTGTGACCTGGCTGCTCCACCGCCAATCCAGCTCCCTGCTAATGGCCTGGGAAAAGCAGCAGAACTTGGTCCAAGTGTTTGGGCCTCTGCTACCCACGTGGAAGTCCCAGATACAGCTCCTGGCTCCTGGTTTCGGCCTGGCCCAGCCCTGGCCATGTGGCCATCTGGAGAGGGAACCAGTGAATGGAAGACCTTTCTCTCTCACTTGCTCTCCCTCTTGCTCTGTGTCTCTGACTTTCAAAATAAATAAATAAATCTTAAAACAAAATGAGCTCCAGGCTTGCATGCTCAGGGGGTGAGGCTGGGACCGGAGACGGGAAAAGAGAGAGGGAAGACAGATCTGCTTCTGTCATGCCTGGGAATTCAACGTGCAGTTCTGGAAGAGAGGAGCAATGGGAAAACAGTGACAGGTTTTTTTCCCCAAAGATTTATTTATTTATTTGAAAGGTAGAGTTACAGAGAGAGAAAGGAGAGACAGAGAGGGGTCTCCCAACCACCTGTCTCCCCAGATGGTAGCAATGGTCAGAGCTGGGCCAATCCAAAGCCAGGAGCTTCTTCCATGTCTCCCATGTGGGTGCAGGGGCCCAAGGACTTGGGCCATCCTCCACTGTTTTCCCAGGTGCATTAGCAGAGAGCTGGATTGGAAGAGGAGCAGCCGGGACACAAACCAGCGCTCATATGGGATGCGGGTGTTGCAGGCTGCAGCTTAACCAGCCCGCTGTGCCACAGCACCAGCCCCAAGTGACGGTTCCTAGACAAAGAATGACAAGGTAACGCTCAGGCTGGTCTGCAAGGATGCCAGCTGCTGGCGTGGACTCGGGGTGCCCGGCAGCCAGGCCTGGAGTCCCCGGTGCCCAGCAGAACAGGGCTTCTGGAGCTTGGTGCTCCTGACACCTGCGGCGGAAGCACGCGTTCTCGTGGGGACTGCCCTGGGCGATCCAGGATGTGCAGAGCATCCCTGGCCTCCTGGGTGCCAGCAGCGCCCCCGCCCCCTGGCCGCACTTGACCTCCAGGAGCCGGTGGGGCCATTTAAGGCCCTAGAACATGGGTGACTTTTGGTGTCATCTCTCCACCTCTGTCCTCACACTTGTGTGCACCTAAAACAAAAAGGAGACAGGGAGCAAAGGACGGGGGTCTTCCTTCTGGGTTTTATCTTCCTAGTTCTTTTTTTTTCTTCTTTATTCTTTTTTTGGTAGTCAAAATTCAGAGCTGAGATCCTGGAGGGTGGAAGTGCCAGGTCTTGGCCAGGACTGGGCCAGGGGGCTGACAGGCCGGATGTGCCTGGTCCCCTGCCTGGACAGCTGTTTTTAACTTAGTATATCAGACAACTTCCCTGCCTCTCCGGCACGGTTCAGGCCTCCGCCTTCACTGTAGACAGACGTCAAATACCCATTATACAAGGGGTCTCCAAAGGTTCACGGGAAATATGTATATATGAGAAAACCACGCATGGGTTTAAAAAACAGGCTTTTACCAAAATAAACCTTGCTTTTTCAGAGTGTGTTTCATTGAGAAGCAGAGACAGAGAGCTGGGTCACTCCCCCAGTGCACAAGATCCCAGGCTGGGGGCGGACACTGGCAGCCAGGAACTCAGTCTGCGTCTCCCACATGGGCGGCGGGGACCCAACTGCTTGAGCCATCACCTGGTGTCTCCAAGGGTGTGCAGTAGCAGGAAGCTCCGGCAGGGAAAGAGCTGGAAGTTGAACCCGGGGGCTCCGGAAGGGATGTGGGTGTCCCAGCTGGCAGCCTGAGTCCTAGGCTTATCGCCCACCCCGAGCGTATCTTTTTTTTTTTTTTTTAATTTGAAAGTCAGAGTTACAGAGAGAGAAGGAGAGACACACAGAGAGATCTTCCACCCACTGGTTCACTCCCCAAATGGCTGCAATGGCCAGGACTGGGCCAGACCAAAGCCAGGAGCCAGGAGCTTCCTCTGGGCCTCCCACGCAGGTGCAGGGGCCCAAGCACTTGGGCCATCTTCTCCTGCTTTCCCAGGCCACAGCAGAGAGCAGGATCGGAAGTGAAGGAGCCAGGTCGCAAACCTGCGCCCATGTGGGATGCGGGCACTGCAGGTGGCAGCTCTACCTGCTATGCCACAGCACTGGCCCCTAAACTTATCTTTTAATTCCACTTTCCCACAGACTTTCGGCAGTACCCGTGTGTGCTGAGTAACAAGAATACTTTTCTCCTGGATCACTTCCACGCATACAAAACCAGCAGGGCTCAGCCGTGTCATTTCTAATGCTCCTTTGCCTGCCGGAGGGGGAAAGGTTGTTCAGGTCATGGGAGTGGGGGGCAGCCCAGTGTCGCTTTCCTACGGGGACTGTAACAGATGATGACAAACATCTGAAGCTCCTTCTCCCTCAGGTCTGGGGCCAGCTGTCCCCCCATCAGCCGGAACTGGGCAGAAGCACAGGTGTCAGCAGGGCGGGGCCCCGGCCCAGGCTCCGGGAAGGGCTCTGGGAAGGGCTCCGCCCCTCCCTCGCCTCCCGCTGCCTCCGGGGCTGCTGCTCGCCTGGGCTCGCCCACGCTCCCATGCAAGATCACACAGCTCCTCCTCTGCGTGTGCACCTCGCTGCCTCCGGCTGGGGCGGACACGGGGAGCTGGCATCCCTCCAGCCAATCCCGGAGCGATCGCTCACATCCCTTTAATTCAATCACCATCCTATGAGGAAATGGTACCCTGCGGGCCACTGGTCAGCCCGCCCCAAGTCGCCCACCTCTTCCTTCCCTGAGGAGGGGCCTGCAAAGGTGTGTCAACCAGAAGCCAGACTGAGGGACTGTCCAGAAAGACGTTCCTTGTCTAGGTCCTGGCTGATCCTATCTTATTTTCCCTCCTGCTTGTCCTGCGGCCAGGGAGAAGCAGAGTGAGGGAAGAGCGAGGCCAGCACAGACACGGACACAGATGAGACACAGGCACGGACACAGACAGACACAGATGAGACAGGGACACAGCACAGACACAGCACACAGACACAGCATACAGACACAGAGAGCCACAGTTGGCCCAGGAGTGGGCTGGGCAAGCAGAGCAAGCCAGTCCCGACCTCTCCCCTAGTTACAATAAATTTGCATAAGCAAAGCGAAAGTTTGTGACTTTATCCTCTGCTGCCAGGCCTGAGATTAGAAGCCAATTCACTTCCGCTTGTGCTTGTGGGAGAAGTTACTCTTCTCACCAGGCTCCTGCTCACTCCTGCTGCCACAGCCGGCCAGCTCCAGACCCGCCAGTTCTGCGAAGGTGTTCTTGGCACTCCGGTCCGCCTTCCCAGACGCCCGCCCCAGAGTCAGGATCCTGACCACGGACACCCCTGTTCCCGTGTCCCAGCCTCATCAGGCCGCCACCCCTGGGTGTTTCTCCAGGAGAACACGGGGCCCAGCCACGGCACGCGCTCACACGGCACTCCGTTTCAGGGCAGCTGAGAGGCTGTGCCAAGCTTCCCCCAGGGGAGAGGAACGTGGGACAGATGCTCATGCAGAGAGAGCACCAGAAGGTTCTTTTGGGGCCCCGGGTTGTTGGGGACAGCTGTCGGGAAGGGCGAAGTCAGGAGAGGCTGGTTACGGCTCGGGAGACCAGGGGCCCCGAAGCCAGCCCCGCCACTTGCCAGCGAGGCGACACAGGGCGCTTGAATGAACCTCGCGACAGAATGGCAGTGGTGCCGGGAGCAGGAACAGGCGACCTGGCCTGGCACATGCGCACCCCTGCACGGCGCGTGGCCCTGGCTCATCTGGTCACATTAGCTGTTGTCACCGTTCCTGCTCCGGAGCCGCGAGAGCTGCTCTGTAACTCAGCACCCGGACGCACACCATATAAAATCGTTTATTATAAAAAGCTCACCCGCGCGGCGCTGCGGAAGGAACGGAACAGCCGGTGCGTGTTAGAGCCCGGCCCGGGGAGGGGGCGGTGAAAGACTCATTTTACACGTCATGTGCCCGGGTTCATCAGGCCGAGGCCCTCAAAGAACTGACAGCATCGGGGGCTCCGAGAGCCGCCACCTGGGCCCCCACCTCCCCATCATCGCTGAATTCACAAAGCAGCCCTGTGTCCTCCGGACAAAGCCAGGCCTGTTTCTGACCCACACGCCAGGACTCCAGGGAAGAAAGCAGAGGCAAAAAAACGAGTTTCCAGTCCTAGTAGAAGCAAAATGAAACCACCACTACCTCCCGACCCAGCGGCGGGGGAGGGGCGCGTGTCCTGGCTGGGGAGGGGCATGTGTCGCCACCACTGACTCCGGGTGGGGAAAGACCGGGGAGACGCCTGTGCCACACCCGCGCTGTGCTCTCGGGCAGCACGGCTTCCTGGTGCACCTGCTCCATGTGGTTCTGCGAACGTCCCTCCTGGCACACGAGAGGCCTCTCCGCCCGCCCAGACGGCCAAGTGCGCCTCCGGTCCCCCTGCTTCTCGGCCGTGGCTCAGGTGGCTTCCTCGGCGTCTGGGGGTGCAGAGGATGTGAGGGCCAGGTCAGTCAGGTGGCCGGGCGTCGGAGGCCTTGTCCTGGACCTCGTCGTACTGGGGTGGGGGCGTCAAAGGCTCGATGGAGGGCGGGGCGACGTTTTTGTCCGGGAGGCTGATCCTGAAGTCTTTGAGGTGCAGCTTCTCGGATTTGATCCTCCGCACTTTGAGCGGCTTCAGGTGTTTGGCCAACCTGGAGTTCTGTCTGTCGGGGGCGTGCCCCGGGCCCGGCTCCGCCCCGGTGCTGGTGGGGGTGGCCTCGTCCAGCCCCGTCAGCGACTCGTAGGAGGGGAGGGAGACGCTCATCCCCGGGTTCTGCCCCGCGTCCCCGCCTTCCGAGTAGTTGGTGTTCATGACCTCCTCGTAGCTGGGGACGTAGTACCTGGAGGACGTCTCCTCCTCTTCCTCCTGGCTGAAGGCGACAGACGCAGACGGAGAGGGTTAGCAGGCACTGGCGTCGGTGCAGTCACAAAGAGATGGGCCCCAGGCTCCACACTGGCCCTGGGCGCGCACACACATGAATGCTTCAACTGTTCATGGCGAACACGCTATCTAATGTCTATGAACCCATTTCGTATTCCTAACAACTCTGCGAGCTAAGTACTAGTGTTATACCCATTTTCGGGATAGGGAAAACTGATACGGCAAGGTTAAAGCTCACCCAGTTAGAAGGTTCACTCTGTGAACCACACAACTGCACCACTGGGGAGTTCTGCTCCCTGGCCTTGAAGCCTTTCCCACTTCGCAATGAGCCCCGTGGGCCAGGCCAACGTGCAGCCGGCTCCTCTGGCCAAAGGCGACACAGCAAGGTGTGAAACAGCCGCTGACCTGAAGCAGAGCGGCCGCCCGCAGCGGGCGAGGAACGCCTGGACTCTGACGCTGACCTGGACCTCACTTTGTCCTCCGGGGTTCTCCTGAGGCTTGAGATCAGGTCCTAAGCCTCACTCTTATTTGGCTGTCACCATGGGAACCAACACGTTAGGGTGTTTTTCACCCAATTACAAGGAGTAAGGCCAATAGCCACTTTCCAAGGTGCCCCTGGGCCGGGGGCGGGGGGGTCTGTGTCCGGAACCTCCCTCTCGTCCCGCCTGCAGGAGTGAACCTGTGTGTGCTCAAGGCCGAGCAGGTAATTAAGGGCGGCTGATTCTCCTTCTTCCTCCTTTTCTACAATAAGCGTGTGTGGGGCCCAAGTGTATGGGTCAACTTGACCGGCCACGGGGCGTCCACACTGCATGTCCCCTCTGGGTGTGCCTGGGAGGGGGTTCCCAGCTGAGGTCAGCTACCGTGGACCCAGGAGATGGCCCTCCCCACCTGGTGGGCATCACCCAGTCCACTGGGGACCAGGACCGTGCTACCCCACTGGTTCCAGTCTCTGGGGAGCACTCCCTCATATAGCAGACGGTATCTTGTATTATCAGAAAGTGTGTTTAATTTTTTTAAGATCAAAACTACCAGTGCTTCTAGAAAATCCCACCAACAGAGGTCAGTCTGCTGAGGGAAAGATAAGCATCTTGGCTCCTTTCCCTCGGGATAAGCCCTGGGGTGGGCACCTCTCCGTTCCCCCAGCTACAGAATGTGACGTCCCCACCGATGCTGTGTCGCACGACCTCCTCTCAATGTCGTCCCCAAGGTCCCTCCCCGACTACAGATCCGCAATGGCCGTGCAGAATCCGTGATTCAGCTCACAGAACGACACTTGGGTGGGCCGGAGTGTCTGCTCCCTAAACGATGACCTGGTGAACATACGGGGCTCTGGTCACCAGCCCACCAGCTACGTGGCTTCCCTGCGGCTCCCACGCCCTGGGCTGCCTCTCCCGGCCAGTATGACGGACACAGGAAATTGACAGCTGCCCTGTGATTGCATCTCACGGCTAATGAGCTCATGCATCGCTGGCTGGGCATCTATGAAATGCATTCACCTCTGTCCCTCTTTCTCCTGTCTGTCCGTCTGTCATATTTGTTTGCGAAGGCTCCTTAACTAACAGAGCTATCAACCCTCACTGTGCGTCCCCCCCGCCCCGTGTCACCCCGTGTGTCACTTATCCCTTCCACTCCTGCCACCGCTGGTCAAACAGAATCCTGCTTCCCAACCTTCGCACATGGAAGCAAGCATACCAAGTGCACTAGAGGGAACAGAGAAGCAACACAGGAGGTCCTGCCCCCCAGACCCCCACCGGGTTCCCCTCTGTTTCCCCAGGGCTGTTGGAATCTTGGTAATCTCATCCGATCTCTCAGGCAACTCTGATACAGAGGAGGGCAAAGTTATCTGGGAAATGACAAACGGCATCAGGGAGGTGTGTGCAGGGGGGTGGGGAGGCAGAGCCTCGCAGACTGAGCGGGGGCGGGGCTGGGAGGAGGGGCGGGGCCGGGCCGTCCTCACCTGTCTTCCTCCTGGGCACGGGGCTCGGCGCCTAGGGGGTGGGGAGGCAGAGCCTCGCAGACTGAGCGGGGGCGGGGCCGGGCCATCCCCTCCTGTCTTCCTCCTGGGCACGGGGCTCGGCGCCCAGGGGGTGGGGAGGCAGAGCCTCGCAGACTGAGCGGGGGCGGGGCTGGGAGGAGGGGCGGGGCCGGGCCGTCCTCACCTGTCTTCCTCCTGGGCGCTGGGCTCGGCGCCCGCCTGCTGCTGCATGCGGGCGATCTCGTCGCTCTGCCGCTGCTTCCGCTTGTCCCGGATGCTCAGGCAGATGGACAGCAGCAGCAGCATCACGCCGGCCCCCACCAGCACGTAGGCCACGGAGAAGGACTTGCTCTTGAGGATGCCGCTGCCTGTCTCGGTCTTGTTGCCCTGAGCTGCGGGCTTGTCAGCAGTGCTGAAGCCGGGCACCAGGTTCCACATGGCCATGATGACCCCGAGGACCAGCATCCCCAGGCCGATGGCCGTCAGCGCGTAGTGCGAGCCATTGGCTTTGGACTGGGCCATCATGGCAGCGGGAGGGCTGGGCCCCGTGCGAAAGAAAAACAGAAATAAATAAAGGTGGCAGCAGTGGCAACAGCGGGTGCGGCAGCAGCCTCTTAAATGCACCGAGGAAAATCTATAGCACCACGCTCAGAAAAGTCTGCTGAGGTCTCCCAGCAAGCTCAAGGCATCCCGCGTGGACAGCGGCGGCCGGGGCTCTGGAAGGGAAGCAGAGCGGGGAGATCGATCAGTTTCGATTCAAGATGCTTTTGGGGCACGCAGCGGCACGTCGGGAAGCAGCAGCGAGCCCGGAGCCAGAGGCCTGGCGCGGCCTCGCCTGCGGTGCGCTCCCCGTGTCTGCACTCACAGCCGCAGCCTGCAGAGGAAGCCGAACGACCCGGCTCCGCTGCAAAGCACAAGCCAAGCAGGAGGCCTGCAGGGGGCCAGGCGGTGAGGGCTCAGGGCCTTCCGACCTTTTGTGGGATTCACTGAAGAGCAGTTAGGACCTCGGCTCTCCCGGGAGACAGCAGGGAGAGGGGTAGGCAAGCGTGCGTCGCGGCCCAGCCGCGTGGCAGAGCCGCCTCTGTGATGGCCCCGTCCGGGCCTCCCGTGGTCGGTTCACTACCCTTAGTGGCTCCCCACTTCCTGCAGGAGAAATCCAGCTCCCCACAACGATGCTGCAGGCTGGGCTGCCTTTGGCTGGCCCTGGCCTCTCTCCCAGCCCTCCGTCGCTCAGCCCCTCCGGCAGCTGGGCAGCTCTCCGTTCACTCGCACCAACAATTGTGGCACGGCTGTCTCCTGCCAAGACCACATACTCACAGTCTCTGAGCCTGGTGATCAGCAGAGACGTGGGAAACGTGAAACCAGCAGAGGCGCCCGTGCCACCCGGCAAGCCAGTGGCTCCTCAGCCACATCGAGTTTCCCTTTCTTTTAAAAAAGATTTATCTGTTTGAAAAGAGAGAGAGAGAAATAGAGGGAGAAGGGGGGAGAGAGAGAGAGAGAGAGAGAGAGAGAGAGCTTCCATCCAATGGTTCACTCTCCCAATGGCTGCAATGGCCAGGACTGGACCAGGCTGAAGCCAGGAGCCAGGAGTGTCCTCCAGATCTCCCATGTGAGTGCAGGGCCCCAAGCGCTTGGGCCATCTTCCGCTGCTTTCCCAGGCGCATTAGCAAGGAGCTGGACGGGAAGAGGAGCAGCTGGGACATGAACTGGCGCCCATGTGGGACGCTGGTGTTGCAGGTGGTGGCTTAACCCACAGCACTGCAGCGCCGGCCCCGAGTTTTCCTTTTCTTAAAGTAGGCAGAAGCCTTTCTGTTCCCTATCTCAGTTCTGTGCCTGTAAAACAGCTTGGAGATGCGGTGCCAACAGGGGCAGCCAGGGGCCCCGGGGTTCCATAGCCCCACGTGGGCCCGGGCCACCAGGGACCAGGAAGCCAGGGATGGGATGTGCAGGTTACACTGCAGGGAGCCGGGGTGGGGGCGCAGTGCCCTGGCAGCCCCCTCCTCCCAAGGGCTCCCTGCAGCAGGAGCCTGCGAGACAGCAGGACGCGGTGTTTGGAGGGGCAGGGCCCTGCGGTCCATGCTGCATTCTTTCCAGGCTCTGCCCGCGGCCTGAAACCTGAGGCCGCAGAGCTGTTTTCTTGTCCAGGCCCAGGATCCATGTGAAAGCGACCCCACTGTCAAAGGCCGCTCTGAAAATACCCCGGACAACATCCGCGTCAGCGAGCGGTCTGGGCCTCCTTCTCTCGTTCGAACTCAGCAAGTACTTCTCCCGCATCGCACTGTCAGCCAAGAAGCAAGGCAGATACTGGAGGAGGATGGCTGGGGAAGTCGGGGATGCCTGGGGCTCCAGCCCGGGGCTGGTGCTGTGGCGGAGCAGGTAAAGCCGCTGCCTGCAGTGCCGGCATCCCATATGGACGCCGGTTCGAGTCCTGGCTGCTCCACTTCCAGTCCAGCTCTCTGATGTGGCCTGAGAAAGCAGTAGAGGATGGTCCAAGTCCTTGGGCCCCTGAACCTGCATGGGAGATCTGGAAGAAGCTCCTGGCTCCTGGCTTAGGATCAGCGCAGCTCTGGCCATTGCAGCCAGTTGGGGAGTGAACCAGCGGATAGAAGACCTCTCTCTCTCTCTGTCTCTACTTCTCTTTGTAACTCTATCAAATAACAAAATAAATCTTTTTTTTTTTTTTTTTTGGACAGGTAGAGTGGACAGTGAGAGAGAGAGAGACAGAGAGAAAGGTCTTCCTTTTGCCGTTGGTTCACCCTCCAATGGCCGCTGCGGCCGGTGCACCGCGCTGATCCGAAGCCAGGAGCCAGGTGCTTCTCCTGGTCTCCCATGGGATGCAGGGCCCAAGTACTTGGGCCATCCTCCACTGCACTCCCGGGCCACAGCAGAGAGCTGGCCTGGAGGAGGGGCAACCGGGACAGAATCCGGTGCCCCGACCGGGACTAGAACCCGGTGTGCCGGTGCCACAAGGCGGAGGATTAGCCTAGTGAGCTGTGGCGCCGGCTACAAAATAAATCTTTAAAAAACAATGACCTATGAGGAGGAAGGGAAGAAAGGATGGGAACAAAGGAATTAAACAGCAGGGGCTCGGGGCAAACCTCGGTGACAAAGTCCCTCTGTCAGACTAGGGCCTGCACCCCGCATGCACAATACCATGTGCACAGGGCACATGTGTGTATATGCATACGTGTGTGCACATGGGCACATGTGTGCATGTGCGCCCGTTGTGTACGAGGATACCTCCAACAGTTTGTGGAAAACACAGTGAGAAGATAATTTGGTTTGGAGCAAACACATTCTGAAAGCCCTGCAGGGTTTTGGGTGGCATGTTTTTTGGCATTTGGGAATCAAAAGTTTAAAAACTGGTCGCACCGTTGGCCCTGCAATTCCTCCGAGGGTGATGTGCAGAAGCATGGTGACCGGAAGCCACTGCGAGGGCCCGAGGTCCCGATCGGGTCGGATAAATGACAGTCGCTCAGCAGGAGTGACAGAGGGAAGGCAGCAGTGTGTCCTGTGCGGTTCTGTACACACACAGCTAGCTACCAATATACAGGGAAAAAGACCGGGTGAGTGGACTTTGGCTCAAATGAAAAAGAGACGATACGCTTCCAAGCATGCAAACACGCGTGTAAAACTCCAGACTCGTACCCATGATTGCCGCTGGGGTGCAGGGGCGTGGAAGGGGACCCTCTATCCTCTCTCTCCAGCTTGAACTTCTCAGTGGGGACGCGTGGGTGCAGGGCAGCGCGGCTGGTGGAGGGGGAGCTCCGGAGCCAGGCTGCCTGGGCTCAGCTCCTCGCCCTGTGCCTTCCCAGCCGTGCAGCCTTGGGCTGCACCTCCACAGCGGTGAGATGCCCACGTCACAGGGGAGTCACGACCAGGACACAAGAAACAGGACACAAGGCGGGACCAGCACGCAGCAAGGGCTTCTGAAGGGCTTGTCATTTAATAGAACTCAAAGCTGGTGTTCACAGCGGAGTGAGATCATGCAGGGGGACAAAAGCTGGATTTTGGGGGAAAAAAATCTTTGATAGGGGCCAGTGCTGTGGCATAGCAGGCTAAGCCGCCACCACCAGCATCCGATATGGGCGCTGATTCGAGCCCCAGCTCTTCTTCCAATCCAGCTCTCTGCTATGGCCTGGGAAAGCAGTAGAAGATGGCCCAAGTGCTTGGTTCCCTGCACCCAGGCGAGGGACCCAGAAGAGGCTCCCGGCTCCTGGCTTTGGATTGGCCCAGCTCACTTGGGGAGTGAACCAGCGGATGGAAGACCTCTCTCTCTCCCTCTCCCTCCCTCCTTCTCTCTCTCTCTAAATCTACCTCTCAAATAAATAAATAAAGCCTTAAAAAATCTTAGATATGATCGTCGCCTGTGGCCTGCCACAGGGCACAGTACACAGGAAAACACTCAGCACAGCCTTGGCATTAAAACTTCCTGGCGTGGGGGGAGCAGCCCAGAAGGAGAAGTCGAAAAAGACTCTGTGGGGAGGGGGTTGGAGAGAACAAGGCTGGGAAACACTGTTCAGCGTATCCGGCTGAGTTCTGAAGCACTCTCGGGGCATCCGCTGCCACGGTGACAGGTGACAGGTGGTTTTTCTGTGTGGTCTGACGAGTCAGGGTGATCTGAAACATTTGTAACAAATGTACTGGGGGGCGGGGCAAGCGAGGGAGCTCTCACCTGCTGACCTGCAGGGTCAGCCCCCTGCTGTCTCTAATGACCAGGACTGGGTCCAGCTGAAGCCGGGGACGCAGTCCAGTCTCCCCTGTGGGTGGCAGAAACCCAGCTGCCTGCCTGGGCCATCGTGGCCGCCTCCCCGGTGACACGGCACGTGGGCTTCTTAGCCGCTAAGGTCTGCTCCTGGAGGCGTTCCCGTTGTCTTTTTCTTACTGAGAGACTAGAATTGGAAAAGAGGAAAGTGTTGCTTTCACACCCGAGGTGAGACGCAGGCCTGGCCCCTGGGCTCGCGGCAGGGCTGTGTGTCCGCCGGGGGCGTCAGCAGGCTCGGAGCCGGGTCTGGACCGCCCGGGCTGTGACATCCAGGCCCAGCTGGCCAGCTGTGGCCCTGGTTTCTGCCTCCTTGACCCAGGACGGCACCCGTGTTATATTTAGCACGGTGTTCTTTCCCTTGGAAAGCGATGGAAAGAAGCTAATTCTGTGCTTAGAGGATTCGGGCCACATAGTTTCCCCAGCAGCCTTGGGGGACCGCGTGGGGTCCCAGCTTGGCCAGACTCACGGAGCCGGAGCCGTCACCGCTCACGGTTAAGAAAGCCCTGGGGGACACGCGAGGGACTTGTTTCTGGATTTTTAAGGCAGGGAAAAAAGTTAATGCTTTATCTTAAAATTTAAGTTTTTAAACAAGATTTCTTTATTTATTTGAAAGGTAGGATCGGAGAGTGAGCAAAAAAAAAATCTTCCATCTGCTGGTTCAGTCCCCAAATGGCTGCAACGCCCAGGACTGGGCCAGGCTGAAGCCAGGAGCCTGGAGCTCCACCTGGGTCTCCTACATGGGTGGGCAGGGGCCCAAAGCACTCGGGCCACCTCCTGCTGCCTTCCCACATTCGCGGGGAACTGGATCGGAAATGGACAAAACCCATCGGGCGTGGGGGACACGGGTGTCACCGGTGGCGGCTTAACCCGCGGCACCACAACGCCAGCCCTGATTTTGATATATTTGTATTTATTTATGAGGTACAGTATCAGGGAGCTTCAAATGTCCAC